ACAGCCTCTAGGCTCAGTCCAGTCTGTGATTAATGGGGCTTTTTTTTTTTTTTTTTAAGATTTTATTTATTTATTATGTATACATCATTCTGCTTCCATGTCTATCTGCACACCAGAAGAGGGCACCAGATCTCATAACGATGGTTGTGAGCCACCATGTGGTTGCTGGGAATTGAACTCAGGACCTTTGGAAGAGCAGTCGGTGCTCTTAATCTCTGAGCCATCTCTCCAGCCCTAATGGGGCTCTTAATGTGCCCGAGTTCTCGTGTGTGTGTGTGTGTGTGTGTGTGTGTGTGTGTGTGTGTGTGTGTGTGTGTGTGTATACTAGTTCACACTCACCAGCACATGTAGACTTAGAATTGAAAAGGGATCTATCATACTATTGTTTTTAAGATTCATTTTTATTTATTATGTGTACAGTGTTTTTCTTCTGCATGTATGTCTGCATGGCAGAAGAGGGTACCAGATCACATTAGCACCCAGGCTTTATACCCGAGTATATAAGGCCTTCGGTTTATGTTCTCAGTGCAAAGAAACAGTGCTTACTGGAAGAACAACGAGGCTGCTGCACAGAAAGTAATAGTATTCTGTTACCTACTAGTAGAGAGAACAATTGCTAGCCGAACAGTTTTAGACATATATTCATGTATTATATTGCTTTAAACAAATTGGAGGAAGTATCGCTGGGGGAGGTGTTGGGACATGGTCTTGATATGTAGCTTCAAACTTTTAGCAATCCTGCCTCAGCCTCTGAATGCCCCTCTATGCCTGTGTTTTGCAGTTTTAAAACTTGAAACTACATCTTGCTACCTCTGTAGAAGATCTATCTCCCTTGAGACTAGAGAACACTGATTTCATGGGTGTGAACTTTACTCCATACTTGTCACTTTTAGTAATGTAGAGTCTGGGAAGTAGATGTTAGTGCTTTATATGTCAGCTGCAATGTCTAGCAGATAGGAACTCCTCAATGTTGCCTCAGTGAACATTCAGGAGAGTGAAGAGTCAAAAATATTGCAGATTGGTAGTGCACATCTTTAAAAATTCCATCATTAAGCACACAAAAGAAGCCTTTTGTTTGTTTGTTTGTTTTTGGTTTTTCGAGACAGGGTTTCTCTGTGGCTTTGGAGGCTGTCCTGGAACTAGCTCTTGTAGACCAGGCTGGTCTCAAACTCAGAGATCCGCCTGCCTCTGCCTCCCGAGTGCTGGGATTAAAGGCATGCGCCACCACCACCCGGCAAAAGAAGCCTTTTGAAGGTGTGTTTTTATTCGTGTGAGTGTGTGTGCATGCGCCCGAGTATGTATGTATGTATGTGTGTGTTTGCTAAGTGTGTGCAAGAGGATAGAAAAGGTGTTGCTTCCCCCTGGAACTGAAGTTACTTGTGTGTCTGGGAATTGAACCTCTCAGTCTTCTGGAAGAACAGCAAGTACTCTTACGCACGGAGCTCTCTCCTGCCCTGTTTCACAGTTCTTAAAAATTTATTATGTATGTGTTTGTGTGCACACACGTCTGTGAATAAACACAGTATGGCTATCAGAAAATGACTTGAAAGAGTTGATTCTCTTCATGGTATAGGTTCTGGGCAACATAGGCTGAGCTGTCTTTCTGGCCCTCTTTTTGCTTGCTAGTTTAAATAGGGTCTTGCTCTTGGTTGGCCTGGAGTTTACTTTGCAGAACCATGCTGGCCTTTAACTTGCTCCTGCCTCAACTTCCCAAAGTGCTAGGATTATATCGTTGGCTTTGAAAAGCAGCAATCAGTAAAACTCAGAAACTGTCATTGTCAGGACACCATCGTGTAGCAGTAGGACATGCATTTTTAAGTCAGTCAGAATTTGCGACATCTGCAACACAACAGAACAGCAATAGAAAAAGTACACAGGTCAGGATAGAGATGAGGCTGAGCGCATAGTGTGTTTGCCAAGCATACAAGAGCCCAGATGGGATCTCCTGCCCTCCATTAACAGGGTGAGGCAAGGCGTGCCTGTAATCCAGCGCTTAGTTGGTGGAGACAGAAAGATCGGTTCAGGTTGTCCACTGCTATGTAGAGTTGGAAGCCAGCCTGAGCTACCAGAGATGCTGCCTCTAACATAGACATTCAACTCATCTGCAACAGGTTCCTGAGCAGACAGTTTTTTTTTTTAGTGTGGTGGTTCATACCTGTAATCCCAGCACCTGAGAGGTAAGGCAAGGGGACCACCCGAGTTCAGGACTAGCACAAGACACAGTAAGACTTTGTCTTAAAAAGAAAACACATGTCTAACACTTGTGAAAGTTGGAACTATTCAAGTAATCACTTAACAGAAAATCAAAGGAGAGGCCATTGAGATGGCTTAGTAGGTATGTGTATGCTACCAAGTCTGGTGACCTGAGTTCTGTCCCTGGAACCTACTTGGTGGAAGGAGAGACCGTACAGACACATAAGTAGATGCATGAGAGAAAATCTAACCAATACTTCCATGTCTGTGGCAAATAAATAAGTGTTTGACTTAGAAACCCTGATGAGATTAGATTAGGTTATCCATAACAAAGGACTCCAGCCTTCCATTAAAGACAGCAATAAAACTACACACCGTGTTATGCACAACACTATTAAAGGGAAGAAATCTGAAGACAGACACATGTACAATGATTTAGACTTGCACTCTCGAGTGTGCGTGCACGCGCGCGCACACACACACACACACACACACACGCACACGCACACGCACACACACGAGCCTGGTGATTGAGCCAGGGTTCGAGTGTGCTAAGCACATGCTTTCCCACTGAGCTCTCTCCAGCTCCTGCCATTCTCCCCAAGAAGATGAAGTGGCGGGCACATTAGCAATCCCTAATGAGAGTGTCTCAGCTGTTAGCACACAATCTCCAGAGCCCAGCACATGCAGTAAAGTCTAAGAAAATACAGCTTTAATTGTTGAAGTGATGGGGGAATTGTATCTGAAAATGAGCTTAAAGGATTTGATAAAATTCTATTCTCTCTCTAATTCTCCCTCCCTCCCTCTCCATGCCATTAGGCCAGCATAGCTTAATGTTGAGTCTTCATGGTCTAGAGAGGCAGGAGAAATGCCAGTCATTCAAGTAATGACCCTATCAATTACACCTGTAAGAGTGAACAAGACCCAGTTTTCTCACCAGAAAAATGGGATAATAGCTGCCTTCTAAGATAAACTGAGCAGTAAATCAGATTTTGTGCATGTGTATGTTATATGTGCGTGTGTAGTGCTTTGGATAGAGCCTGACAAGTAAGTCACTGGAAATTGAAAACAAAACATAAATGCAAATCAAAGCAATGAGGTGCCAGGGCTGGAGAGGTAGATGGCTAGGAGGTCAAGAGAATTATTCCTCTCCCTGGGACCTGTGTTTGGATCCCAGCACTCATGCCAGGTTTAGCTCAGGGTACCCCACACCCTTTTTTAGTCTCCTCGGGGATAGGCATGCCTGTGGCACACAGGTGCACATGCTGTCAGACACCCACTCTTACTTAAAAACAGTAGATATGGGTTAATCTATCAAAAATAACTACAGAGAGTGTAGAGGACCTTGTCTTCCTTTTCCAAGTAGACTAGCCAAGGTGTGGCCACGAAGAACAAGCTGCAGTGAGCTCATTAGGGCGATGGCCTTCAGACTTCGCTGAGGGCTTCCCACCCGGCTCTGTCCCCTGGCGGCACTCCTGTCACCCGACTGAATATCCCGTCCCCAGCAGGTTTGCTGCTTAGCCCATTTGCAGCTGTATGCTTGATTAATGCTCCCAATGTTAACCATAGGACAAAAGAATAATAATCACCCTTGCCCCTCAAAGTGAGCTGCTAGGTAGTAATTAGCCAAGAAAGGTACCACCATAAATAATCTGCCTCGGCTCTGCCAGGGCTCTTGTTTGCCTTTGCTTAGTTTGTATGGGAGCCGGGACTGCAAACCAAAATGCAGAGATCAAGGTTGTGTCCCTGTTCATGACCACACTGTCCTAGGTCACTGTCACTGGGTACACCATGGAGAAGTCTTCCACCTACAGAATGGGGGGCTCTCCTGACTGAGGGAAGCCACTGTGGTGGGAACTGGAGGAAGCTGGGGTTGGACTATCTGGCACCAGACTGTACTTAACCTGTCCCCAGAGAAGATACTTGAGGTGGGGGACTTGCAGTCTCAGCACTCCAGGTGCCAACCAGGAGGATCACCTCAAATTCTTGGCCACCCTGGTGTGTTCCAGGTCAGTGTAACTCTGGTGTGAAACCCTACCTTCCACTGCCCCCAGATATAAATTGATAGTTCAGATTTGCCGAAAGGGATTACTTTTAAGTGTAAATTACAACTTCAGCTCCTCTCTCGTGCTGTTTAGAAGTAAACTAGAGGCTGTCCCTGAATGTTAAACCCGGTCACCTACTCCAAGGACTGGCATCCCGGGTATCACCTACTCTGGTGCAAGAGCACATTTACCCCTCCCCAACAAAGAGCCCTGAGCTGAGTCCTCCGATGACCAAATGGTCCGTGGGTTGGGCACGGACCAGGCTGGTGCTCCTGTCCTTATATCGGTGGGCTAAAAGCATTCTGCTCAGTCTCTCACCTCTTGAGAATTGGTCAAGGTTTAGTTTGAATAGAGTAGAGCTGCTCGAGACTCAAGCCCTGCATGGCTTCTGACGCCGAGTGGGAGCGCCCTGGTTCTCAGGACACCAGTCGGTGGGGGTGGGGGGGGCGTGTAACCACCTCCAGAGTCTGGAGGTTGCCTGGACTGCCTTGGGCTGGGGAGAAGGCGTGTGAAGGGGTGTTAAGGGGAAAGGCTGAGACTGACGCCGGCTCCTGAGCTTACACCCTGCGGGAAGGAAGAGGAAGTGTATTCGGGAATAGCTTAAGCAGCTGCCGCTATTGGCCGCTGGGCCTGTCAGTCGCCTGGGGCTGAGGCTGAAAAGAGGAAGAAGGAGAGCTGTTGCCTGGAAGGGAGGAGGAGGGGGCTGAGCCCAGCGGAGCCAGGGGGCGTGGGGGCTGGGAGTGCAGGCCAATTGGCAGGGCGGGGCAGCCTTCGATCTGGCCACTTCTCTTAATCATCGCTCTTCTGATTCAGGGTGGCATTGTGTCCCAGTGTGCAAGAATAGCCCCAGAATCGGAAAGGCTGAACCCAGAGCTCTTCAGCAGGGAAGATTCCCTTCCCCCCTGCTTCAGGCTGCTGAGCACTGAGCGTCGCTCAGAATGGAAGCCATCGCCAAATATGACTTCAAAGCTACTGCTGACGATGAGCTGAGCTTCAAAAGGGGGGACATCCTTAAGGTGAGTGCTGATGTGGTCTCCTCTCCTCACCCCGGTGACAAAGAAGCTGTGCTTGCTCTTCCCTGGGGCATAAGTCTAACGTTTGCCGCCAGGTTTGATTGGACAGCTTGCAGTAGATGGGGAGTGGATTGTTAAATGTGGTATTAGAGAGTTGGTGTGATGTGTGGTCCTTAACTGCCTTTGTGTGATGTTTGTTTGTTTATTGATACAGGGAAAGTCAAAGGGGTATGAGTGATGGCTTTACCTTGTGAGGTTGTATTTTAAAAAAACCCACAAGGAAATTTTTCAAATCCTAGACGTGAATTATTTATGTAAAAGCATTCCTCTAGTCTTACTATGCACAGCCAGGAGCCTGCTTTTTGTGACGGGGTCCTAGCAGATTTGAAGCTGCTTAGGGAGAGGTTGGGAGTATATGCCCAAAGTCACCCAAGAGTTCATTGCCTTTTATTTCTGGAAGAGCACCAGTGGGCTCCACATCATAGTGTTTAGCTTCCTTTATACAAGTCAGACTTTGGCTTTCTTTAGAGGAACTTGAGCAGTTAATGCACATTAAAATCTAATTGCATAAAAACCGGGTACAGATTAGAAGTGAGCCGCTTCACAGTTTGCAGTTTTGAACCCTGCTATGACAAGAGCATTGGCTCCCCTCCTGGCACATGGTAATTTACCTAAATGTCTGGAGCAGTTTGCCCTATTGGATGTCACTTTTCTTTACAGGGGTAAATGTTTTCTGAGACGTGTGGACTTTAAGTCGGGGAAACTGAAGCTTAATATTTTTGAGTGCTGCCTGTGTCTCAAGTTTTGATATTTTTTCCTCAGAGATTTAGTCTAGATTGTTGGGATTTGCCAGCTTTTTTTTTTTTTTTTTTTTGATTTTTATAGAGGAAGAAAGTGGAAACATGATTTATGGGAAGAAAGTGAAAGGTGATTTATAGGAAAAACCATGAAGAGTCCTTATGTGAACCTGTCAGTAGTTAACATTTGCCCTCAGTGGTCAAAGTGGGGGAATGTACTGTGTGACAAAAAACTTCCTAAGGAGACACAACACACAGGTTCACTCAGCCCAGATAGGGATCCCACAACAGAGTAAAATATGGACGTCACCAAAGTCCAGCTTGGTAAACCCCTACGTTTTATTGGGGTTACTTAAAGGAGCAGAGATGACTCAGAGACAGCTATTATCACTCAGTACCATCCCAGCCTGTCCCATTTCACAAAAGCTGGGAAATCTGGAGCATCCTGGACAGCCTGCAGGCAGCTCAGGCTCAGCTGGCTGGCTTCTGCTTCCTCCAGGCAGCCAGCCGGTCTGGTCTCAGTCTTGCAGTCTTTTTCCCTGTGGGCCTTTGCCTACAGCGCAGCCACTTATCTCTCATTGCTTACTCTGGCAGGGAGGGGCCTGGTGAATCTGGTCAGTTTCAGGAACTTCCTTCATACCTATTTTAAGTTGTTTGCCTTCTTGTTTAAAGAGTTTCCCTTTAGAATGGAATGTTTCAATCTCAGAGGAAACTGTTACACATTTTCCACATCAAGGAGCTGGGCCCTGAAACTGTTACACAGATACCAGGGAGTGTGGCTCTGAAGCTCCCACATAATGGTTAGAAATGTCATCTGAATTGCACATAAGGTTGTGCCGAAAGTCTGCTCCGAAGAAAGTAGAATCCTTTGTTGTGACACAGAGTTCTTCGAGAGTTTCCGAATTTGAGAGATGGACAGCAGCACCCCTGACTTTAGAGCACTTTGCTGGTTTCTTAGAGAGAGAGGGAATTCCTGCTACTAAATGACTCTGTGCCATTGGTACAGAGGTCACTTGCATTGTGGTTATTGTGTACAGTAGATAATCCATTTGTGCTATCTCATAATGAGGCTGGTTACTTAGGCACTCAACATTTGCAGCCTATACAAAAACCCTTAACCAGGTTTTTTGCTTGTTTTATTTGGTTTGGTTATTTGCAGGCAGGGTCTCTTTTTTTTTTTTTTTTTAAGCCCAGGCTTGCTTGGAACTCACTATGTAACCCAGGATTATTGATGAGTTCTACTTACAATCCGCCTGACTGGTTTTTTAATTTTTGTTTTGTTTTTTTAAATGCATAGACGTCCCCATTTAACTTCACCTAGTGACTTGGCCTTGCGGGGCTTGGCAGTTCATATTCTTCTTGCCAGTGCATCCCATTGCCTGTTAACACCACATCAACAAATTAAAACAAAACCAGGGACTCTAAGCAGAACCACTCCCTGGTTGCCTTAAGTTTGTCCTATTCCTAGACCATAAATGTTTGACAAGTTTTATGATGAGGAAGGTGAATTACGACGCCCCACTCCCTTTACCGTTCTGCTGGGGAGAGAAAGCCATGCACTCGGTTCTTTCCACTCTGGTGGATAACTGGGATGTGAAGTCATGATGCCATTACTGCTTTTGAACAGTGGCCATTAGCTGTTTGTTAGTAATCTGTGGCTTTACTCCAAAAAACAAGAGAGAGTGAGTATGAATATGTGTGTGTTGATACAGTGGCTGCCCTTTGTCTCATAGCTCTGAATCAGCCTTATGAAGAGGAGGGGCGTCTTCTGTGCTAAGAACTGTTGGTAAAACAAACAAGCAGTTTTCTTCCTTTCTTTGGGGAGTAAGCCCATGCCATCACCCGCTTTGATATCATTCCATAGCTCTTGGCTCCTAAAAGGGGCTAGAATGGCACAGAACACTTAAACTTTGAAATAGGGAGATATCTGTTATCCCCCTTTTGTCCCTTTTATTTTACTTTTTTGTTTCTTTGCTCGTTCTGTTTTGAGGTGATACCTGTGTTGCTCATGCTGGTTTCAAATTCACCTGCTTTTGTTACTTGTCCTTAACTATCTAAGCTTGTGTTTTGCTTGGAGAGCAGGGGTACTGGGGCTTAAGAAAAAACAAAAAACAAAACACTTTTCCTGCAAGCTTCAGGCCTTTGCATGGTTGAAATGCACTTAGTTCCCCATTGTTGTGGTAGAGGCTTGGAATGGGCCCGAGAAAGGGGTTGGAGTTGTAGCTCAGTGGTACAGTACTTGCCAGGCATGCAAAAAACCCTTCGTATTTTTGGCCTTGGTCATATAAAACTGCCATGGTGAGGTGTCTGTGTACGTACTTCAGATACTGCAGAAGCCACTTCTAGCCTACAGACCTTTTTGAATTCTTTTAAAGTTGCTTGCTCGCCCTCTTGGGTTCTGGAGGGACCAGTGCTCCAGCCATCCAGGTGTCCTTGGGCTTCACTACGTTTGCTGTCCTGGACTGCTTGAGAAATAGGTCTCGGGTTTACTTTCTGCCCCTTAGCCTCCGCCTGTCTCTGCTGCTTGGCTTATTTCAGTGTCGTCTTTACTGAGCATACCTTGAACCAGACCCTGTTCATTGCCTTGGCTGTTGGGAGGAGACAAAGCTACACTTTCTGTCTTGAGCAACAGAAAGAAGAGCACATCACTGTGCTGAGGAGTGTTAAGTTCAGGGTTTAGGAGAGGAAAGGCCCTTCTAAAGCCCTTAACTTAGTTTTTTTTTTTTTTTTTTTTTTTTTTTTTTTTTTTTTTTTTTTTTTTTTGGGGAAAGGGGGATTTTCTCTTTTTTTTTTTGGG